GGGTGGAGTTACTGAAGCCAGCATCTCCAGCAAGGCAACCCCCTCCCAACCTCATCCGCGGGTGAAAAGGATGCAGGAGGGAGTGAGGAGCCCGGTCTCAGAACAGACGGTCCAAGGTGGCAGAGTGAACTGGGTACAAGGCAGCTTCTTCTTCTGGGAGGGTGGTCCCTGCCCCCCCCATCCAGAGCTGTGCGAGGGAGTAAAGACAGGTGCGCATTTCAAGGGCGCCCGAAGGTCTGAAGTCGTTCCCTCTCTAGAATCCATTCTCTCCTCAGAGGAGTTATGTTTATTTTCCTGAACTGTAATATTTCCCAGGCCGGCAACTGGCCCTGGGCCACCGAACGGCCCCTTGGGAAAAGTAGTTCGAGTTCGCTTCCAGGTAAGTTCTCTTCGCCCCATCTTCCCTCGGGTCTCATTATCGGCAACCTCAAATCCCAGGGGGTTCCGCAAGCACCCCGAATGCTGAAGTCCCCGCAGTTCCTGTCTTCAGGTGTCCAGCATCCCGCAGAGGCGTGGGAGGAAAAGACTACATCTCCCAGCAAGCATCGCGCGCTCCAGTGCGCAGGCGTAGCCGCGCCTCGCCACCCCTCCCCCTCCTCCAACTGCTCCCGTCGGTCCGTTCCCGTATTCCCCCCATCAGTTCTAATGTCCCCCTGTCTCTCCGGCATCTTACACTCACCGCGAACTCTCGGCGTCGGGTACAGCCGCTGTGCCTTCTCCAGGAAGCGGAGCGCCCGGTCGGGCTGGTTGCTCTGGATGGCCTTGAGGGCGATGCTAATACAGCGCTCGGCTTCATCCTTGTTGGATTCCATGGCGGAACCAGAGCGCAGAACCAGGGAGGGGGAGGCCGGGCGAGCGAAGGGCTGCGCCAGCCGTCGGCGCGACGCGGACGAGCCGACGCACGAAGATGACGTACCCTGCCCCTCCTTTTCTGAGATTTGAACGAAGGCGGAAGCGCTACCGTATGTCTTCTAAGACACGGACGTCTGATTTAGGTGTCCGTAATGCTGCATGGTGGCCGGGTACTGTGGTTCACGCCTGTTATCCCAGCAATTTGGGAGGCGGAAGCGGGAGGATAGCTTGAGACCAGGAGTTCGAGACCAGCCTGAGCAACATAGCGACCCCCCCCCATCTCTATCCAAACAAACAAGCAAACAAAAGCTAATCAGGCATTGTGGCGACTGATTGAGACTGTAGTCTCAGCCATTCATTAGGATGAGGGAGGATCGCCAGAGCCTAGGAGCTAGAGTTCAGGAGTTTGAGGCCGCAGTGAGCTATGATCGCTCCACTGCACTTCAGCCTGGGTGACAGACCGAGCCCCAACAAAAACAAAAACAAAACAAAACAAAACTTTCATGCCCACCTATATGTTTATGTTCTGGAGGTCTTAAAATTGAGTATAGGCCCAGCGTGGTGGCTCAAGCCTGTAATCCCAGCACTTTGGGAGGCCGAGGCGAGAGGATTGCCTGAGCCCGGGGGTTCGAGACCAGCCTCGGCAACTTGATGAGACCTCGTCTCTACAATAAATCACAAAAACTAGCTGGGCATGGTGATTTGCGCCTGTAGTTCCAGCTACTTGGAAGGCTGAGGTGGAAGGGTCGCCTAGGTCCAGCAGGTCAAGGCTATGGTGACCGTGAGTGCCACCACACTCCAACCTGGGTGACAAGAGTGAGACTCCAACTCAAAAAGCAAAAAAAAGAAATAATGGAGTCTGACTAGGAAGTACAGATAAATATTACCTATGAGCCAAAGTTTGAAAAATACTACTCCGATAAAAGTAATAATTTAGCTGGGCTTGGTGGCTCAGCCTGTAATCCCGCGCCTTTGGGAGACTGAGGTGAGTGG